GGGGGGGGGGGGGGGGGGAGGAGGAGGAAGAGAGATTCCGGCTGGGCTTGAAGGGGCTTCGCAAGTTGCGGAGCCCCGCCCCCGTCGCTCTTGCACCGAGTGACAACGTATTTACCGGCGTATAAGACTACCCCCCCACTTGGAGGCATGTTTTTCAGGGCAAAAAAGTCATCTTATACGCCGGCAAATACGGTATATGTTGCTCATCTCAACAAAAGCAACTGTATTACAGTATACATCTACCCGGAAGCATATACTGAAACCATAACCTAGCTATTAGCAGATTACTCCTTCTTAAACTGTGCATGCAATTCTTCTTTCTTCACTCCACCCCACATCTTTCCTCTCCTTTCTATAACCCATTTCCTACATCAGTCAGCCTCTTTTCATTAGCTGGTTTGACTAATTCCTGAAGGCAAAGCCCTTAAAAGGTAATAGGGAAGGAAGCATGGTGCAGGCCATTGCTTTTATTTCCTTTTGTGGTTAATAATATGCACAATTTTAACTAAGAAATGTATACCTTTAAGTGCTTCCATAATTGGCTGAATAGATTCAGACCACTGATAGGCATCAATTGTTGTATATATTCCAGGGAAATCTCTTTGCCAGATACGCTGCCCTACTGCCCAAATTGCACCAAGTTCAAGATTTGCCTGCAAAGAAAGAATTGAGAATAAAGCTGCAGCTATTTGACAAAAGAAAACAAAAGAAATATGCTTATAGTTATACAGAATATTTTGGCACCTCCTCTCCAGGCCTGTTGCCGTATCTAGGATTTAAACTCGGTTTTAATTTGAGAATGGTGTTTAAGGCATATTACCATGTTTCTCAGAAAATAAGGCCGGGCCTTATTTTCTTGTGACCCCCTAAAAAACGGCTAGGCCATCTTTTCGGGGGTGACTTAATTTCTCCCCCCCCCCTTGCCTAGAGCACCCCATGGGCAGCCATGCCTCGCCACCAGCCGCTAACAGCCGATCATGGCGGAGCGTGGAGAGCTCCCTACCCCCGCCAAGCGCCTTTGCTGCAGACCCGGGTATGGTGCTGGGTGCAGGCCAGGTCAGCGGGTGGGCAGCGGCGGCGTGGATGTCGGCTTCGGTGGTGGTGGGGTACTTTGCATCGTGCCTGCCACTGTTGCTTCTTCTGCCACTGTTGCTTTCCCTTCTGCCCGTGCGCTGCCGCGTTTGGATTGTTGCACACTCCTCCACCGGCTTTGTTTCAGCTGCTTCTCGGGCGGGGAAGCCATAGCTTCCACGGTTCCCGCTGGGGCGGGCGCCTCTCTCACCAGCGCCATCTCCTACAGGAGCAGCGGTGAGAGAGACCCCGCTGCCGACGAGAACCGCCTGCCCTCCTGCAGGGGCATCACTTTGATTGACGGCAGCTGCGTCGACAAGGTCCTGCAAGTCGGTGTGTCTTTCGGGGTTGGGTAGGTGGAAGTGGCGGAGGGAGGGTGATACGATAGTTTCTCTACTCCCCCCCCCGCCTTGCTTTGCTTCCCGCCCCAGAGCTTCGGGTCATGGTCTCGTCCCTTGTACGATCGGGCGCTCTCCTCTTGCTCCAGCTGCCCAAAAAACCCCCGTGCACCTTCCCCCCCCCCCTTTTAAGTTTTCTTTACTCTCATTCCCTCTTTCAGTTCCCTAAGAATACAGACTGGCTGGACAGCTTCCTCCCCCTCCTGGTAGTTTTAAAAAGGGAACCATCTATCCACTTTGCCCTTCGAGCAGAGGCAAACCTTCCAATCCAAACAGAAGAGAAAGGGAATCATCCTACAGATCCTTAGCACCAAGCTTCCCAGAGGATTCTCCCAAAGGATCCACCCCAAAGGAGGATTCATCAGAGGATTCACTCCAAAGGAGGGGAGTGCATTTAAGGGGGTGAATCCTCCCATCTGGGAAACAACACAACTGGTGCGCCTGTGCAAAGGTCTTCTTGGCCATAGCTGACACTTCCTGGACTGTGAGTCTCGGAAGACTCAGATTGCACAAAACCCTTGAGTCAATAAATGAAACTCCATCAAAGGTCAGAGACTGAATATTCCCAATCTTAGCATGCCAAACATCCACAGCCATTTAGTCTTGGTAGTATTGAGTTAGAGACATTTTGCTCCCCATTCAAACTCACATAGCCTCCAGGCACTTGGCCTATCGACAATCAAAATATATAGTTGAGTATCATCAGTATGCTGAACCCTAAACCAGCAGATGACCTCACCCAGTGGTTTCATGTAGATGTTGAAAAGGGAGAGAATAGAATCCTGCAGCACCCCATAAAGGAGGGTTTGGGGAGCAATAACCTTTCTCCAGCCAACATCTATTAGAACCAGCTCTGAGGAAAAGAAGGCAACCACTGTAAAACTGTGCTCTGACCCACATAATTGGCTTAAGATGCCACCTTGGTTGACAGTATCAAAAAACAGAGGAAGGAATATGTTAGGATATAAACCAGGATAGATATTTTAATACTGTCTCTTTAAGAGAATCCTAAAAGTGTAATTGGGTGTGGTTTCTCAAACGGCCATAAGATGGAGCCCAGAAACCTGGGTTGTTTAGTCTTAGTCTCAGAAGAAGTCTCAGTAAGTCTCTTTTTCCTTCTGTTGGAGAATATTGCCGTTCCTTCTAATTGACTGATATTCTTGGATTTGATGTAAGTCTGTTACTGCCCTTTTTTTTTTTTGATACTGGACTTTGTTATTAGATTATCCCTGGACTGAAAACTGACTGATTTTACCTGTGAATGATTTTGGACTGCTTATCTTGAACTTTGCTTAAACCTTTATGGGAAGTAAAAACCTACATTTACTGTACAGTGTATCTGTGTGCTGTGTGTGTATTATTCAACACTTCTCTCAATACGTCTCCTAACGGGGAATTACCTCAACAGAATACAAAGATGGATGCACCATCCCCATCCCAATTCTATCACAAGTGCAACCAAAACTGTCTCAGCACTGGCCTGAAAACAGACTGGAATATGTCTGGAATAGTGTTTCTCAACCTTGGCAACTGTAAAATTTCAACTTTCAGAACTGAACACTTGCTGGGAAAATTCTGGAAGTTTATTTATCTTTAGTAAAAGGCAAAAGATTTATATGATCTGAACCAGAGTATATTTGGGGAAATTCTGGGAATTGGAAGTTCTCGCATCTTAAATTAATCAAGATTGAGAAACACTAGTTAAGATCATTTGCTTCTTCCATAATTCTTCTCAGCTGCAGACCCACCACCTTCTCAACAATCTTCCCCTCCATTTTTAGAAAGTATAGCTCAGTATTCAGACTAGAGACCTACAATTCTGAACTGAGACCTACAAGTCTTAAAAACACATTATAAACATTTGAATAAAAATGCAAAAACAATAGTGTTCCCAAATATTAAGATCAGTAGGAGCAAAACTTTGTATTCAACATACATTTTTAAATAATAAAAATGTAGTTTGGGGGAACATGGTTCTGACAATACTGTTTTAGTTTTGATAGCATTGAAAAAATACTTACAGACTTAATAGCAGAAGGGATTCTTTTCCAGAGATAACGGGCATTATTCCTAATAAAAATAAACCAGTGATAAGGACATTTTTAAACAAAATCTATGCAATAATGTTTATTTACTAGAAGTTTCTGGCTACATCCTTGAGAATATATCAATATACAGTGCACATACATTACAAAGGCTAAATAATTCAGATGTCATACTGCTTGTTTATATCTATCATGTAGAACATAGGGTGAGAAGCGATTTTGGAAGTCTTCTAATCCAACCCTCTGCTGAATGTTAAAATCTTCAGACTATCCCAGACAAAAAACTGTTCAATCTTGAAAATCTCCAGCAATGAAGCACTCAGTACTTCAACAGGCAAGCTGTTCTACAACCATAATTTATGATGTCTGTTTTTCTATTAACCCTAGGGTTTCAGCTACATATTTCCATTCTACAACACAAAGGTTTACGTATTTATCTTGTGCATTACATTTTTATTATGAATTGGTTTGATGTGCATATTCAAATTATACTGTATTGTCTTATATGTGACACTGTAATACTGTCATCTAAGAATTCCAAAATAGCAACAACAAAAAGCTTCCCAATAGTTGCCAAGAATAACTGAGTTAATCAAGTAATTATTTACTTGTAAATTTGTGGTTATGTTGTTCAAGTGACGGGAAAGATGCTCGCCTTACAGAAATATATTCCAATCTATGAAGTAATTTGCTTATTTTAATTGTGATGCTTCTGACACAAATAAACAAAACAAGTATTTTGCTTTTCAATAATACCTAAAAATAGTATGAGCAAATTCAAAATCATACTTGTGTTAAACAGCAAAGGTTCGGGATACTAAAAATCAATAAAAGTACAGCATACTTCACCTACACTACATCACATGCTTTTGCTTTTACAACTTGTTGATTTGGAATGCTAAGTATGTTTTTTGCCAATTAATGTAAATTCATCTAATTCTAAAAACATCTGAATTGTCTCAATATGCTTATAGATGTCTAACAGGTCCAGACCTATTATTAAAACTATTACTTACATATCATTATGCAGAAGATACAAAGCCAAGAGTTGAGCATAAACAGGTGATGTTGTTATTCCTCCAGGGGCCTTAAAAAAATCAGCATAAAATTAGATTGTGTCCTATACAAAGCAGTACATAGCTGAGGACAAAGAACACAGATAAAAGCCAATTCCTTCCCTCTGAAAAGAAGATCTGGGCAATCAGGTGCTTTCCCCAAACTGCACGATACAGCCCATTTCCACCTCTGTACACTAAGAAAACACATTTCAATATTCTTAACTCTCTGGTCAAAATACATCCTAAATAATTCATTCAGACACGACATTACTTCATCCTACTCTCAAACTCACTTTGGAGAACAACCAATTTGTATTAGGACAGGGGTGTTAAAACTCAAGGCCCATAGGCTGGATCAGGCCTGCAGGGTGCTTAGATCTGGCCAGCAAGGCTGCCCTGGGAACAGTGAGGACTGGCCTGCGGTGTCTCTGCGAGCAAAAACAGAGCTCGGGAGGGCTTTCGCTGGCCACCAGACACCCCTGACATGAGTGACATTAAGCTGGCCATCTGGCCATGCCCAGCCCGGCCCCTGAGGCCAAACACAACACTGATGCGGCCCTCAATGAAATCAAGTTTGACACCCCTGCTTTAGGACCTACCCATGCCTTTTACAAGCATTTATAATTGTGTAATTATTCTAATTAACAAAGGTTGATAAAGAAAATCAAAAGAACGTTATTGAGGGAGTGTTGAAATAAACAGACTTCAATCTGGCAAAGGAGAATAAGGCATGTACATTTATGAGAAAGTGGTTATTCATTATTTGCCTCAGCTAATGAAAGGCAAAGATTTCAGGGAGCTAATAAAATATAGGTAGTCCTTGAGTTACTACCACAATTGAGCCCAAAATTTATGTTGCTAAGTGAAACATTTGTTAAGTAAGTTTGCCACATTTTATGATTTTTCTTGCCAGTTAAGAGAATCATTGCATTTGTTAAGTTAGTAACATGACTGTTAAGTGAATCTGGATTCTCCATTTGCTTGTTGGGTCGCAAAAGCTGTTGTAAATCGAGGACTACCTGCAGGATTAAAATTACTGAGGCATTAAGAGATAGATTACAATTTTCACTAGTGAACAATTATAATACAAATAGTACTGTTTGGAGTCCCTATTTCAAACAAAATTCCAACAGAATTAAGCTGACCTGTTTTGACCTGGCCTAGTATTTAAAATAAAATTTGTAGAGCTATTTTGGTTGTAGTAACTATGTCAGGGGTGTCAAACTTGCGACGTCACATGGCACATCACAACTTTTTCCTCCTTCACTAAAACGGGCATGACACATCTGGCCTGCAGGCCGTGAATTTAAAAGCCCTGAACTAGTTACTATTTGTAGTATTTACAATAACTAAAGTTGTCCTTTTTAATGCAGTTCACACAGGTAGACCACATTTTACGATGGCAATTGGGACCAGGATCACCATTTGTAATATATGACATAAACACATCAATTAGTGAAGGCAATTCTGGTTGCTATTATAACCCCAGGAGTGTATGGGTTATTAAGCAGGAAGGGGCAAAAGTCCCAGGTAAGGGGTATGCACACGTATGTGCATGCCCATGCAGGTGTGAGGGGTCAGGGGTTGATGTTGGGAAATCTGAGCCATCCAGCCAAATGGAAGTGCAGATAGACCAGCAGGAGCCCTGGACGAGCAGGGGAGTGGTAAAGATGAATGTGAGCTGCCATGGAGAGTGAGGTCCTTGGGATCCATACTCTGTAGCAGGGCTCCTTGGAAGAAAAAGTGGCAGAAGTGATTTACAGGATTGACTTGTAACTTTCCCTGGAGGCTTCCCCAATGACTTGACTAATGGGAAGACGGCAAAGAAATTTGCAAATGGTGGTATGATCGCAGGGATGCTGTGACCGCATCTTTGCAGACTTAAGTTCCTTGTCTTAATTCTAAACAAATGGTTATAACTCGAGGATTACCTGCACCTATGTATTATAAAGCCCGCTGTGTTTAATGAAGGAAGAAACAGACTGCAAAATTCTGAGCATTTAACCGAAGGCAAGTCTAATTTCTCTCATTTTAATGTAGATGTTATACAAGATGTATATGCCACTTGATTCTCAACAACCCTGGGCAGCTCACAACAACCAAGTAAGAAATTTATTTATTTATTTGATTTGCCAATTGTTTACAAGATAATAAGTATAAGTGTATACATAGTTGTGAATACATGAAATGGGTACATATAAGAAAAATAAAAGAAGAATAAGAGAAACAATAGGACAGGGACGGTAGGCACGTTGGTGCGCTTATGCACGCCCCCTTGGAATAATATCAATAGAAACACAAAGATAAAATGCAAAGGATTGTATGGCATCCTGATTCTGCAATACTTCTGAAAAAAATCTACTGCTTTCTCCAAATTTAGCAATTTCCAAGGCTCTCTCAAGTGTGAAATCACAACGACAGAACTGAACTTTTCTCTTCGACATTTTCAATGTCCCAGAGCGTTTTCCGTTTGCTATAGTGCAGCCAAGGCATCAACTAATCAACCAAGCAACTCAGATCTTTGGGCTTCCCAAAGACCTGCCTCCTCTCAGCCGAGAGACCGCATGGAAGAAGTTGAGACAAGAGGGCTGGGCGGGAAGAACGCGCGTCCAGCGTTGCTGCTTCCCCTCCCTCGCGCCCCGTTTCCATGGTTGCCACCCCTGCCCCCTTTACCTCCAGCTCCTGAGTCTCACACTGCTCCAGCAGCTTTCGGTAACTGAAGGCGCCGCTCGTCGCCGTCATCACCGCCACTGGCATCTTGGCGCCTCGCGCCCGCTTCGAAACAACTCTTGGCGGACACGGCCCAAACAAGCGGGGGAATGGAAACTTCCTGGAGGCGGGCAAGCACTCGCCCATCCTATTTCCACTTCCGGCCCCGAAAATAAACATCAGGGGCGTCTTCGCCGGATTCTGCGCTCGATGGGCGTGTCGCACCTGCATTTGTGAAAATAAATAGATATATGCAGAGATGGAAGTGTAGAGTGATACATTGACAGAACTTCCGGTTTCAGTGGCTCTTCCCCACTCCTCTCGATTAGGAAAATGGGAAAGGGTCTTGAAGCATTTCATCAAAATTTCGCGGACAACTATCATGACGGTGGTTATGCATTTTATTCTCTTGCAAAATATTAATATCCAAAGCTGTTCCTAGATGTATAACACGAAAAAGTCCGTGTTCTTTTAGTCAATTGCCTCTGGAAGCGTGCGGCTGACCGAAGTTGCACTGATATTGACTGTTGCTAATAATGATGACAAAATACAATTGCAATATAAAATAGGGCAGAATGGTGTCGCAAAAAATAAAGCCGTTATCAGTATTTTAAAATGTTCTATTACTCAATTATATGAATAATAGAACCGGTGCCTGATTTTAATACACAATTCTGCCCTAAGGATTGAAAGACCTGATGACAATACTCCTTAGTTGCTCAGGCTACAGTCCTAATTATTTAGTACTTCAGGCTAAAGTAAAATTGAAAACTGTCTATTTAATCTCTGGTTTATGGCCTACATTTGACTCAGAACTTCCTAATTAATAGCTCATTCATTCCACAAGCCAGTCATTCCAGATATATTTCAACATTAAAAAGTTCAAAATCTTATCTTTTCTTCAACCCAAGAGATAGCCCAACCCACCTCACAGGGTTGTTGGAAAATAGGAGACATGAGTATTAGGTATGCTAACTGCTTTGAGTTACATATTTAAAAGATGGGATAAAATAATTAGATATATAGCATCAAGATCTAAAGATTGAAATGGACAAATCATGGCATAAACTGACCGTGCTGGTCCCAGTGCTTATTGGCACATTGGGTTCCATACCACATTGCAAGGTGATCTGGGAAGAGTTTGAGCCTGTTGAACTTAATGATATGGACAAGGTCCTCTCAATTTGACCACTTGTGTATTAGGTCTATGCCCTTCCTAGCTTATTAAAACTGCACAGGAAGTGATATATCTTTTCTTTGTATGTACACTGAGAGCATATGGCCAATAAATAAATCATTTGTTCATTCATTCATGTAGGACTGGGTCAGGGTAGTAGTTAACTCCTTGAAAAGAGGAGTGATCCCATCATATCTTAAAGAGACAATGATATACCCCCTCCTCAAAAGACCAATGTTTAACCCAACCAAGCTGGACAGTTTTCACCCAGTTTCCCGAGAAGGGGAGATTGTGAAGAGAGTGGTTGCATGGCAAAAGCAGAGGACTTTGGATGGATTATCTAGACTTTGTTCAGTTGCAGTCCAGGCCTGGATTTGGGATTGAGACAGCATTGTTCTCACTCTTGGATGACCTCTAGCAGGATAGAGGTAGTGCATCCCTCCTAGCTCTTAATCTGTCAATGGCATTCAATATCATCGATTCATGGTATTCTTTTGGGCCAATTCTGGGAGTTGGGGTGAGTGGCACTATCATGCTGGTTCTTCTCCTTCCATTGAGGCCAGTTGCAGTCAGAGTTGATAAAAGGAAAGAGATCTAGCCTGTGGCCCCTACTTTGTGCAATGCCTCGGGCTCAATTTTCTCTCCTCTCCTATTTAAGATCTACATCCCAATTAAATTAATTAAATCATGAGTCTCGAGCCAAACTTCAGTCACCTACTAACTCTGAAAAACTATGTATGGAATGCACTTTCAATTTCCAAGCTGCCACACTGCTCTTTCAAACCCCTTTCCCCCCCGCCTCTTTCTCTTGACAACTCTAAAACAACCATAGAAATATTTTATGAGTTGACAACTGGGTGAGGTGTTTCTTTGATTTGGGGTAAGATATCATCAGTACGCAGATGATACCCAGCTTTATATCTCTAAACCAGGCCCCTTGAGTGATGCTGTGGACATCTTATTCCAATGTCTGGAGGATGTTCAGGTTTGGACAGGGCAAAACGGACTCTGATCCAACCATGGCAAACAGTGACTGTGGATATTTGGATCTTCTGGAGGCAAAATTCTTCCACCTTTAGTTCTGGATGGGATGGCATTACCTCAGACAGAACGGCCGCACAATCTTGAGGTCTTCCTAGATTCATAGCTCCTGCTTGAGAAGCAAGCAGCAACTATGGTTAGGAGAGCCTATACATATTTTCCAGTTGCCAGTTGTACCCATTCTTGGACTAGGATACCCTGCTCACTGTCACCTATGCCCTTGTTATCTCCCTCTTAGATTACTATAACACAGTATACATAGGGCTGAACTTGAAGAGTATTCATGGTACAAAATGCGGCTGCATGGATAATAAATAAATAATAATAAATTAACACCCCTACTCTGGGCTGCACTGGCTGCTGGTGCTTTTCTGGGTGAAATTCAAGTTCTGGTTGTCACCTTTAAAACCTCACATGGCTTGGGATCAGGTTACTATATCTGAAGGACCATCTTTTTTCAGTTTCTGCCCATCCAATCTGATTCGGCATGCTGCAGAGCTTAAACAATGTTGATAGGTGGGAATTAGAAAATGCCCCTTTTCTGCTATAGTCCCTGCTTTATGGTATATTTTTCCCTTGAAGATTACAATGGCCCCAACCCTTGGTGGCTTTTTGCAAAGCTTTAAAAACTTGGCTATGTTCCCAGACATGGAGCTCAGAATATGTGCATGGCTTTACTATTAGTTGATTAATCATCATAGTTACTATTTATACTTATTTATTTTGTGGATGTTTTATTGTTTTAATGTTTTTAAATTTGTTTTAATTGTTTTATAATTTTAGAATTGTAAGCCACCCAGAGTCACTTGGCTGAGTTGGGTGGCTATAGAAATTCAATGAATGAATGAACAAACGAATGGCCAACAAATCTTGGACTGCACTTAGTAGAAAATCTGTAATGGACAAAATTTCCATCTGTCAATTACAAAAGACCATTCTGCTTAAATCTGCACTTATATTGCACTGACACATTACAATATCCCAGGTTCTTGGAAAGAACTTGAGGCATATAAAGGCCAATACCAACTAAATAACTAACAGTTGTGATTTCACATTTATGTGTATAAAATAATAGACCAGAAAAATAATGACAAAGAATCATGTCCTTCATCTACACAGGGAAGTTGATGGACTACTTACCAAGGAAAATAGGTGGACATTACAAATACACCAGACAGTTGAAGAAGAAGAAAGGGCATTGGAAGAATTTCTGAAGGACAGTGAAAAAGATGCACTGAAGCTAGTATACCAGGAAGCCTTATTGAGAACTGGACAGACCAAATTAGCCTACAAGAAAAAACAAATGAAGAATAAAACCAGACATAGCAAGGCAAGGTATTAAAATATTAAGTATATTTTAAAAAATTAGCAGGGAAAATAGATAAAATAGATAACAACAATTTGCTGTTGTTATCTTCAACAACAGCAATAGCACTTAGACTTATATTCTGCTTCACAGTGCTTTTACAACCCTCTCTAAATGGTTTACACAGTCAGCATATTGCCCCCAACAATCTGGATCTTCATTTTACTGACCTCAGAAGGATGGAAGGCTGAGTCAACCTTGAGCTCATCAGGATTGAACTGCTGCCAGTGGGTAGAGCGAGCTTGCAATATTGCATTCTAACCACTATGTCACCATGGCTCTTCCCAAGACTTGGCAATGGTTAGGTGCAAGAAAATTGAAGAAAGAGACAGAGGAGCTAATCAAGACCAAGTCTTAAGGACAAATGCATACAATGCGAGAATTGGGAAGATAGCAACAGGCAGAAAATGCCATCTTTGCAAAGAAGGTGAAGAAATAGCTGCTGTAAGAAGATGGCATATACTGATTACAAACAATGGCAAGACAAAATAGCAACAGTGTTGCATGGGAAGATCTATAAGATCTATTATTTGCCTGCAAGCAAGAACTTGGGGGATCACCGAATAGACAATTGATAGAAGAAGCTTTGTGCAAAGATCAGTGGCACAACAGAAGACACAGTTGCTGGCTAATAGACTGGGGAGGTTAATATCAAAGAAAGGAATATTTTAAGAAGACTCATTATAACCACTACTGTTTGCCAATGTATTGATTCTTCTATCAACAATCCTGAACAAGGCAGGCCATGCCTATCAAGCATTAGAAACATCTGCCAGGTTCTCCTGCCTCCTTTACATGGATGATTTGTAATTGTATTGAAAAGCACCATCTGAAACAGAATTGCTGCTCAGCACTGTCCATATATAGTGCCAAGATGCTGCAGTAGAGTTTGGACTTCACAAATGTGTCAGCTTTATCCTTACAATCAACAGGAGAAAAATGGTGAAAACTGGAGGAATAAAAATGAAGAAAATTACTGGAGATACCTGGATATCCTTCAGAGTGGCAACATCAAGCACCCGGAAGTCAAGAGAAAGTTTAGAAATGAATACATTATGAGATGAAGAAGATCTTAAAGTCCAAACTAGTGATAGAAATACCATTAAGGCAAATAACAACTGGTCAATTTCAGTCATTAGATACATAGCTGGAATAGTTGATTGGTCTTAAATAATGTGCTCTGGGACTTTAGAATTTAACCAAACAAGTACTTGCCATCTCACACCCCAGACTTAACAATTGTTGATAAGAAAGTTGTGTCAGAAGCATCACAATTAAAATAAGCTGATTACTTCTTCATTGATTGGAATGTATTTCTGTAAGGCAAGTATCTTTCCCTTTACTTGAACAACATATTACCACAAATTTACAAGTAAATAATTACTTGATTAACTCAGTTATTCTTGAGGAATATTGGGGAAGCTTTTTTTTTTTTTTTTGCTATTTTGGAGTTCTTAGATGACAGTATTACAATGCCACATATAAGACGGAATACAATATATTTTGAACATGCACATCAGACAAAGAATCTGGATAGGGGATGTTGCAATACCTGGAAACAGCAGAATAAAA